ATTCTCACCAGAACCTGGATTGATTTCTCAACTATTCAAACGAATTGAGCGCAATAAAAGATATTATGGTGTGGATGTTGGGGTTTGAGTCAAACAACGTAAGTTTTACGGTCGGTCAAAAATATTGGTATGTTTCCTGATAAAGGCTCCCTGCTCTAATAAGGGAATTACTTAGGGGTAAACAATTTTCGATAGGCTTATTATAGTAAAAATAAATTGTAAGCATTAATTCCAATTGAATTTTATATAAATAAAATACTCTATTTCCCCTTCGAAGGCCAACCCTCGTTCCTTAGCGGATTGAAACCATTGGCTAATTTCCAATACTATTAACGTAAATGGTAAGTTTTTCGAAACGTTATCTATATATAGACATACACAGTCTTTAATATTTCTACTTTAAGTTCGAATTATGATTTAACGTAGAAATCCATTGTCACTCCCCTGCCAAAAATTTAGGACCACCCTGCCAATCAATTAGTAAAACATGAAAAATCCTTTTTTTTTTTTTTTTTTTTTTTTTTTTTTTTCGAAAATCCCTATATTGGCGATATTTACTAAAAATTTTTTGTACAGTTATGAAGCAAATTGACTGCAGTTTTCAGGGAAAATTGAGCACGTTGTTGTAATAAAGCTGTAGCTCAATGAAGTTACTGTATCTATTTTACACATATGTAATCATATTTTTAATCTATATACTATATTACATTTTGGTGAATCACAGCTTCATTACGACAATGTGCTTAAATTTATCATTATCTTTCCTGACAAAAAATTTTGTTACTAGCTAGTGAATATTGCCAATAGGGATTTTCGAAAAAAGTACACTACTCAATTATATCCTGACTATTTTATGTTATAACAATAATAGCCTTTATATAGGAAATAGTCGTAAGCTTCATGAAATTTTGAGTCGAATAGTCTTTATTTTGTAGTATTTGGCGAGACTGTCTACCTGAAGATGAACTTCGGTTACATTTTATTCTATGTTCACCATACGAATAATTCAGAAAAAATACATTACTCTCATCTTTGCTTTCATGTTCGCTAACAATTTCACTCTTTTCATCATTACATCGCTTTATTATATGTTTTAATTGTGATAAATTTATCAATCGTTGTTTGATTGGATTCTGGAAACACTTGAAACTTGCGTTTTTAACCTTGTTATTATTATTAGATTTGTTTGTTTCAAAATATGTTTCGATATTTGTTTTAACATTCTTGTAATAATCAATGTGTCGTTTGATGTATTTCTGGGCTTCGTTTTATGAGTATTTGTCATCAATTGTTTCAATAGTGATTTAATATGACGATATTTTGGGTGGACTACGACCACCGATGCCTGATTCAGCACCAGAGGAATTCAAGAAACTTGCTCAGCATTGCTGTGATGCTGATCCTGACAAGCGGCCAGATGCACTGACACTTATGATAAAAATTTTAAGAGGTGGAAATGAATAATTCTGATAACGATATGTGGAATGCCGTTTATCGTAATGATGAAGACCTCCACCGCGTCTTGAAAAAGACTCATAATTTTGAATAAAATTTGTAGTTTGCTGGATTATTTACAGCTTCTGCGAGTTTATTCAAAGATTTATCCCTATTATTATAGATGTGATATCCAAATAAGATTACCAACGTTGACTAAAAAACCCCCGACTACAAATTAATTAGCGAGTAATAAAGCCAACTTACGGCTAAGGTTCTCGTTTTACTTTCGCTAATTAGCGAATTCGATTTGATGATTTGGCTGGTCAATATCTCATGACTATTTGTGTTTTAACAAGACATGTATGAATTTAGATTGTCTCGATCGATTGACTTCTTGTAATCACGTACCAAGATCTTTCACGCATTATCGATAGTCCGATTTGTGTCAGTTCTTAGAATTTTTGTAAGAATTTATTTGCTACTAAACCTTTTATTTGGAATAAACTTTAGAACTTTTTAATAAAATTAAATTTTAACGATGGAATTCGATTTGCTATTCCGCAACGAAGACTAATTGGTATACATTGATGTTTATTATAATACAGTTTACCTTAAATCTAACGTTACCGTGTTAAACTACAACAATATTACCACAATTGTTACTATTATTATAGCTTAATGTTTATTCAATTGCCAATATTTTTGTATACAAACGTTTTAATGTATGAATATACGGAATTGCAAAACCTAATTTAGCTATTTGTTGTAAACCCGTATTCTATACTAAAGTATGACAGAGTTTAGCGAGATTTTGTGGCCAATTAAATATACAAGTGGTTACATTTACGATAAATAGGTGCGTTTATCTGTTTTTTACGATATGGGGACTGGTCTATCAAAACCTCGATTAATGGTCTAGTTGAGAATAAAAACTTCTTATTCAAACAATGTCATTAGTTCCAATTCATTGACAACTTGGTTCAATCTTTCTTGGAAAGTGAAAATAAACACTTAAGACTTGAATGGATTCCTTACGAGGAAATCACCGACATAGAACCAACTCAAATTGACAACGTCTACTACGTTATTCGCTATGTACCGGCATTCCTTGGAAGTAGCAAAGAATGTACACTAGCACTTGTGAGTGAGTTTGCTAGAATATACTCACTTTCGACACACAAATATAATAACGATGCGATGTCAGCCAATGTAGACGACATTTGAGAAGCGCAATGAACTGATAAAAAGATTACCAAATGTAGTGATAGCTATTACATCATTGTTATTCTCGATCTGAATTCTGCCCTGCTGGTTGGTGCATAAAACAAATATCCGATAGATGGACTAGCAACAACAAGTTTATTTACAAACAAACTCAGCAATCATGCCTATTTGGAATGGATTCTATTTGTTGATGATCGATATGGGTAAGGTTATATAATATATAGTTTAACGTGTACCTGTTAAATTAATTCCGCTTGAGAGACACAGATTTATATTACGCCGAGTTAAACTATTTATTGAATGATTTATGTATCATTTCCACTAGTGTTGATAATTGTAGTCTAATTAAACTATAATTATCCCACTTAGCCTGTGTTATAACCATCAGATTGTGTTCGCGTCGTCATTCGAGATCGTGTATCGTCACCCAAAAGTGTGAACCTGGTAAACTTTTACCGGAAAACTTACCAAGTACGACAAGATCGCGTTTGTATCCTCATTCTCATGACGATAAGAACACATTTGTGTCAAAAATTAGTTTTTGGCCAAGTGATGGTGAATTTGTGATTGCATCATCATTCATTCAAGTGCGACAAGTTTACGGTTGGTGTCATTATTATGTAAATCCTTATTATATTGCTACTGGTACCACTGGCATAAAATCCAAATCAATAATCAATTGAGCTAACCTTGTTGTCGGGATACTTTAAAGACATTCCTGGCCAGAAGCGTTATTGTAAGCAAATCGTTCTACTCCCAAGAATAGAATTAACTGTGCAGAAAATGCTCCATGAATCTTTTGACGATAAAATTATGTTTGATGTCATTTATACAGCTGAAGAATACTCAATAGATAAAGTACACAGCTTTTGCTATTTGCTATTAATTCATCATCTTAGATTGATTAAGAATATATTGTTATTATCTTTTTCCTACTTCGTTTCGCCCAATTCCAACTTGCGCGAAAAAATTTTAGACGATTACCTAATACTGCGTGAGTAGTGCGTATACATCTATGAGCAAGGCGAGAGACAAGATCCTATTATCGATTCTGTACTTATGTATCACGAAATGTGATGACGTAAAGGAGATAATGCATAAATTGTCAGTCCTACTCCGCAAAAAATGGTTTATGCCTTGCCTTTGCCAAGACTTCAGCTAAGTTATATAAGTAAGTTTATGCAATAAAGACAGTACAGTCTTCTTTATATGAGCAGTTTTTTAATACTCACATCAAACAATTATAAACAATTTAGATTGCATATCTAATACCAACCAATAAAATATCATACGACTTCTTTCAACATGGTCCTGAACCTATACAAAATTATCAATAAAACTGACGGCGATTACGTTATACTCTCCAACGATGAAAATTCGGATGATAACTACTCCGTAAGACCAGGCGAAGCAATAAATAAAGACTGCTGGCTCCCAATGAGTGAGAACAGGAGAGTCAGAATTATGCTTAATAATTTACTGATTCTTCAACTGTCTGATCAGGATCGGAGCCTCGTTGTGGAGGGCAGATGGAATGCAATTTTGCGAAAGCAAAGAGTTAATGGGTCAAAAGATTTCTATCTTACAGTAAGCAAATCGCAAGCAGTGTTTACTTGCAACGGATCATTTGCAGATGGTATAGAATCATTTACTGTAAATTATTAAATATTTTGTAAATGGGATGAATTATATGAATAAACTAAGAGTGAAAAGTTAATTTAAGAAGCTTCGCCTTTCAGCAAAACGATCTCATGTAAAAATATTATAATAGCTATAGTAAATTGATTACAGTTATCATCAAGTCAAATATATTGACGATATGATTTCTTTATAGTTTTCATTAAGTAGCAGATTACATTGTATATGTGAAGATGATATCAATGATTGAGAGTGGTCCTGATAGAGATGCAAAAATTGATAAATAAGGCATGTTTCCTGTGTTCAAAAAAGAAAGAATATATATATTTTTTCCACATACAGTGGACTCTCCCTAAGTGCAGCTTCTCTAAGTGCAGGTACTATATTTTCCCTCCCTAAATGCAGGCTCTGGTTTGGTCCCGAGATTATAAGACCATTAAGTATTTCACTCTCTATAATATTATTGTTCTGTAAAAGTGTATATAGATGAATTACATCATATATCATAAGATTGTTGTATAGAATGTTGTACGTATTGTTCATAATTGCGTAACATTACTCAATTTAAGGATTTGAGTTCACCCAATCAATTTCAATTCAAATAATAACAAAGATGATGAACATAGCGTATATTTATAAGTAAAAATGTGGCGTAATAATGACTAATCATCAATTAAATGTTGACAAGAATCACTGATATTTTAAGTTTATTTGATTGGAAGTACACCCGCCTGACAAAAGTATAAGTACGAGACGAAATTTTACTAGTAAAACATATAAAAACTTTTTATTTTTGAAAATTTCTATCGTCCATACGTACTATGTAACCCACAATGATTTTGGTATTGTTTTGAAGCTAATTGATTGTATTTTTCAGAACAAATTATGATATACTTCCTGTTGTCGTTTCAAAACTGTAGTGGCGAAATTATGTTACACATATTAAATCATATGTGTAACATAGTGCCGTCACTTCATCGAACTACTTCTTCTTTAAATTCCACACAATTCTTTTCGAAAAATACAGTCAATTGGCTTCAAAACGGTACCAAATTATTGTGGGTTACATAGTACGTATGGACAATAGAGGTTTTCGAAAATAAAAAGTTTTCATATCTTTACAGAAACCTGTAGTTTTATAAATCTCTGTGACGATCACCACTGTCTAACAGGCATCACGTAATGAGATCGCCATGAGGATTCTAATTTTAGTGTATCGTGAAGATGTGCCCACGAGATTTCGGGGATGCATGGAAATTTTACGATCTAGCAGAATCTCGTGACAAGATCGCCAGGATACTAACAATTTGTTGGTGACATCACGATGAGATGATTGCAATATTTTCTGATTGTAAATGTCACATGATTATCAGCACAACGTCCTGCAAATCTCATCAAGACATTTTTAAAAAATGCAAGTTTCTGTAAAGATGTTTTACTAGTAAAATTTCGTCTCGTACTTATACTTTTGCCAGGGGGGGTAGTTATCCCTCTCGCAATTTTTCAATTTGTAACAATAGTTCCAATATATAAACCACCCCAATACACAGATTCAGAGCACTTTTAGTGTTCAATCGTACGTGCAACTAAATAAGGAACGCAAAACTCCAATACACAGGTTCATAGCAATGATCTCTTACAAACAATATCATCTTTCTCATAGTGATTAGTGAGATCTTTCTTTCTGAAATTGTTGAACATTATTTCTGAAACAGTTTTAGAATGTCTTCGAAAATAATTTCTAGTTTTATGATTAACTTTTCTAAATTTGGACAACTGCTAACAATCTTTAACATCACTGAATTGAAAAAGAAATTGTCGTAAATGATAATCTTCTTAATATTATTTGCTAAAAAGGAATCGGAATTGAATAGCTTTACAAATTCTAATGCTCGTCAAAATCGAGAAAACATCGATTTAGAACAACCTTTCTTTGTACAATTTGACCGATAATATTGGTCCAACTTTTACAACTTCCATTAACCTGAATATCGCTTGATTTTTATCATATTGATTATTGATAATGTCACATGAACACCATTTGATTACATTCTTTTTGATAATTAACAAAGAATATTATTAGCAGAACCTCGACTGGGAATCCAACAAAATAATTTTGTTTTTCTTGATTAGAATCATTGAGATTATACTTTGATTGTTATTTGATTTTGATTGATTCATGTTTATGAAAAATTGATGAAAATTGATAATAAATTAATATAATGATTCCATTTCACTATCAGATTTTTTTTTACGAAATAGATAACAAATTATATTCTTGTTCATCATCAGAATTACTATCTGTAAAACAATTATCGATTGAATTTTGAATTACTATTTCTAATTCTGATTGTTCGTGTTCATTTCTGAAGTTTACTACTATTACTATCTTCACCTGTTCCAAAAACATCTTCCGACAACTCTTCTATCATTCGTTTTATACCTTTATCTTTTTTGAGTTCCGTATCACTATTCTCAGATTCACTAGACATATGTTGTACCTCAGTTGGGGACCTGTCTGAGACAACTAGGTTGTGGACCGTGTGTCTGGGTTCTGGACTGAGACAACTGAGTTTTGGACTAAGTGACTGGGTTCCGGTCCCAAACTCAGACACAACATTAACATAATGAATTACTTTTTCTCCATAAACATTTCTAAAATTAAATCTTGAATTAGGATAACAAATATACACATGTTGTATGTCAGATAGGAATTTATGTCAGATCGGAATCTATGTCCATTCCGAACTGACATATGTCAGATCAGAAT